CTCTTCTGAAGAAAATAGGGTAGTGCCATTAAATAGAGTAACTCGTTACACAGGAGTTAAACAGAACTCACCACTCCAGTGACAACCCTTCAGCTCCCACAAGCTGTAGAGCAACGCAAATGTGATGGAGCAGAAGGACACCACCTCCCACAGCCAATGCCACTGCTCAGAACAGAAGCCAGTATGTTTTCATGCACAGTATCACTCACTTCTGTGTGTACAAGGTCTTTTCTCCAGCTTCCAAACAGGATTCATCCCGATACGATCCTCTGTGTGGTCAGGTAAAGCAACTTTCAACTAACTGTCTTGAGGAAAATGTGTCATTTCCAGCAGGAGGTCAAAGGCTGTAACATGTCAGTTGCTTTGGAGGGTGTTTTAACTCCAGGGCTGCTGAGAAAGCACCCTGTCCACTCACACAGAATGCAGCCCTGGCCCCCGAGGGACAGCTGGACCCACTGCTGATGTCTCCAGCTTGATCTGGGGACATGTCTCCAGCCACCCTGGCAACACTCAGCTCCTGACCACGGCTGAAGTCATTGCTGTGATCTTGGGCAACACAGTACTGGGGTGAGCTTCCTTCACTCACTGCTTCTGAGCCCATTGGAACATTCCCTGTAACACACCTGTACCATCATTCGAGAAGTACAAAACTGACTGAGAGAGTGGTGGGTTGGTTTGGGGTTTTTTTCCAAATAAGCTTGTACAGCACCGTATGTGCTTCTGCAATGCCTTAAAAACTGTTCTGTCTTCTTTCTATGAGCTACAGCAGAAAAACCAGTTCTGAACTCTGCAGTAAAACCTGACAGCTTGAACGCAGCCATGAAATAAAAAAATAAGTAAACCTGGTAGCATGAATAATAATGAAAGGGCAGAAACAGGAAAATAATTCAACAGATGTGTGACATTTTTGTTCTTCACTGTGGATCAGTTATTCTTGTTAATTATATCACCTATTCTTCCCTTTTATTGATAATTACATGAAGCAGATGGATAACAGAATGCTCCCAGATGGTGGGAAAGCAAACAAGTTTATCAATTGTTTATTTATGAAGAAATCATTAAAAATTATTTAATTATCTGCAGTTTTCTACTCCACCAATAATGACATGCACCACCAGGGCCAGCAGCACTTTAGAAGTTATTTAGTATTCTGTTGTAACCGACTGGTTTTTAACGTAACACGACTGAAATGACTGACAGATGTGCAAAACACAATCATAATCTAATCTACTTTAACACTGTGGGAATTAAGATTTGGAATCTTTGGATCTTCTGCCAGTTGGCTCTTCGGTGCCGGTTACTGACTCGGAATACAAAAATGAGAGCTCTCCTTTGGCTCGGAGCAGCTGCAGGCAGCGACTGATGCAGCGAGCAGCCGGGGCTCTGCACGGCTGTCCTGCAGCCCCGCAGCCTGGGCGGCTGCTCCTGCAGGGGCTCGGGATGAGCAGGCTCCCAGCACCTCGTGCTTCCAGGGCTACAGCAAACAAGACCGTTGGCATCTGTGCTGTTCCGCAGGGCTGTGGGCAGGCAGCGCCTCCCCTCCGCGCCTCCCTGGCGATCCGTACCCGACTTACTCCAATCTTTTCAGCAGAGCAATGGGAGATAGAGTCTTGTAGAACAGACACATAAAACCAGCAGCAAAATGTATTTGTCATCTCAAGGAGGGGGGTAAAAACAAACTCTGTCATTAGTCACTGTCACAGGAAAATATTACTATGTTCATTTAAGAGCGTGAAGCCCTTTAGGAAATGGAGAGCCACTGCTCCCAGAGAGCCTACAAGAAGAAGGACCTGTGCTTTCTTAGGCACCACAAAGCACAGCTCACACTGCCTGCTAGAAGCAGGAGCAAGCAGGCAGGAATCCATGGCAGGGCAGTGCCCAGGTTTACCCTTTTGATTTTTCCAGACACTGCAGTAGAAGATAGAGAGTTGACAGAAGGACAAACGAGAACAAGTTACCACAGACTTAATTTTGGGTGCTCATCTGTCTGTAACAACCGATCCAGACCTGCAGGAAAACCCCCTCTCCAGCGCAGGCAAGATCCATCTGGACTGGCAACACGTGGGAATTAGCTGAGGGCAAAGCCTTTCTGAATCAGACTGCAGCTTTTTCTTCTGGCTTTGGAGGAAGGAATCGGGGAAAACAGTCCTTGTGGGTCCTGGTTGAGTTATCTCTACTGGGTCAATATTTATAAGTGAATCTCTTCATGCTCCTGGGCAGGCTGGAACGTATTGAAGAGATACACGAAGTGATGGAGCCCCAGGGCTTCCACTGCACACCCTCTCTGAGATACTAAAGCCACTAATGGCCTACAGAGATATATATGCACAAATCAAGAGCTGTGCTCAGGCAGGGAATGGCTGAGCTGCTCAGCCCCGAGCTGCTCCTGGTGAAAAATGGATTCTGCAGCAAGAATAGGAGAGAGAGCTGGAACGAGAGGAAGGCCGCTGAAAAAGCAGGAGATAGAAGCAGATGCTGATGGCCAGATATCATGGGGCATCTTCTGGGTATCAAAGCAAGAATTTTACTACAATTATCTCCATCATAAGTGACAGATACTCCAGCAATTCATTAGGACAGGCAATCAAATGAAGATTGTGCATTTCTGACACTGACTTGCATTTACAATGTTTGTATTGTACTTCATGTGAAAGAATCATGCCACCATTGCAGAGGTGCCTAAAACAAGAGTTACAACAATAACCCATCCTCCAGCTCTCACAAGCAAATGGGCCATGGGCTGATGTTTGAAGGAACTGCTTTCTGCACACCTCGTGAGCTTGAAGAGTATGATAAAGAAATGAGGAGAGGTCTCGACTGTCTGGAATCCCGGCTTGCCCAAAGCTTTTCAGATCCTGCAGGATCCTGCCCCACCTGCTTAAAACCACCGTACCAAAGAGGACAGCAGAAGTTTTCTCCTTACTGCTACCCAGGTGCTCGCCCCAGACAACTCCCCAGTCCTTCCTGCTGTTTGTCTTTCACTTCTCCCCCTCTTCTCCACACTTGCCCTACAACATTGTTTTCCCATTTCCCTGTTACCCCCCTTCCTAGGCTGCTGGCATCTTCTATGGTGACCAACACATGTCTCACCTTCTCTCACAGTATTTTAAAGGTGACAGTTCTCAGCCTTTCCCTTTTGCAGTTATCACATTTAACTCCTTGGTAGGATATTTTGCTCTTTGCAACACAGACTGTGTCCTTCTGTTGACAGAGTGTCTGGGTAGGTCTTGTGATTGTTGTATCATTTTGTGCCTACTGAAATTTGATCATATTAATTTTAGAAAATACACCTCATTTTATTTGCAACTCAACTGCAGGATTTTGCAGGGAAGTGCAAGATTATCCATGGGGATCAATCTTCCTTTCTGAATTAAGACTAGAGAGAGGGCAAATGCCTTATGCCTCCTATTACCAGAGCTAACAAAACATCCAGGATCTAAAAGCAGCACCAGGTTCTTACTTCTACAAGCACACTCAGTCCCCTGTGGTAGGTTACCTCTCAATTCATAAAGCTTTCCCAACGTATGGTGGCCAAAGGTCAATTCATTCACTCAACAGAAGAGTCAATTTAGCTTTATGTGGTTTCAGATTCTTGGTCCTTCAGAAAACGACAGGCAGCAGCAGTGGACTGGCTTTATCCTCAAGTTACCACCTAGGGATCAACCCCAGATGTCAGCTTTGATAGAACACAGTCTGTCAGGAATCTATAATTAATGCTGGCACATATGCATCGCCTCTCATGCAGTGGGCAGCCTTCTCTTCTCTTCAGCAGAACTTTGTTAGTGAAAATCTCACACATTTTATTAATTAGAAATTCATTAAACTTTCAAGATTTTAACTAATTATCTCAGTGCCTGCAACTCTCAGACAAGCTCAGGCTCAACCTCAGCAGACAAAAGATTTGCAAATCTCTCCAACACAGGGAGTCTGATTCCCAGCTCCAGCAAACATGCTCAGAGGAGCTATTCTAGCAAGCGAGCAACAGGTCAGTTTAAAGATAAAACAGGATGTAGTTCAAAGAACAGTATTGGATAGTTTATCCTGCAGGGAAGAGGAAGGAAGGCGGGGGAAAGACTGTTCAACAAAGCCAAACTCACACCAATGGCCTCAGCCACGTTCTGGATTTTGCTTTGCCAACTGCTGTCTAATTAAGAGGTTTGGGTGCCAAAAAATAGTGACTAACTGTGAAAAGGACAGCTCTAAAATATGATATGGGAGCCCATCTCAGCCAACTGGAGTTCACAGACAGACATAAAGCTCTCTAATTATATTTCTTTAGGAAATCGCAGCTACCTACTGAGAGTATCCATCACTAATGGTTTTTTTCTAATGTCAGCTTTGCTGGTTACTCTTGTGAGGAACCATCTTCACACTTAAAAATGTAAGTCAGAATAAGGTGTCAGCTATTTAACATAGGAAATGGAGAGACTTCTAGGTCAGAACCTCCAACCTGCATGACTGCTACACAAATCAGAACTGCTTGGTTGTGAAACAACCCTTTCCTTTGCTGTTAAATCATTCCTGATACTTTGAAGTGTTGAGGGTATCTTGTGCATGGAAGAAACCTGGCTTTGGGACTGAAAATTAAAATGTATTTAAGCAATTTCTACAGAAATAGTCAGCATCATGACATTGTCTTTTTTCCACTTGCAGAATGACACCTAAATAAACTTACCGGACGAAGGGCTAAATAATAAGTCAGAGCATTTAGAATGCATTGGGAGTCTGGGAGCAACGTCACGAGAAGCTACAGCTAAAATGGAAGCAATTGTGTGCAGATGTTCCAGTTCAGTGGCTGCTCCTGTAACGTGTTTGAAATTCAAGCTCAGAAGCAGTGGCAGCCGTGCAGAAGCAGGGCTGGGGTTGTGAGGGTATGGACACCATGTTCAGTGTAATTAAGAAGCAACCTATCAACACTGGGATGGTAATGCCATCCCATCTGCCAAAGCCTGCACTAGCTGGCACCATGCCTCCCGCCTGCTGCTGCTTCTGTTACCCACCTGATCCTTGGAGACCTGCTCTGATGGAGCGTTTATGCCAAGCTCTTCCAGAGGATAGACAATCTGTCGTCTTGGTCGCACGGGAGCCATGTAATGAAGGGCAGATGTCAGGGAATGGGCACAGGGAGTCTGAAACTGAAAGGCAGCGATCTATATTTCAGCAGAGAGAATGTCAGAGCAGTGCATCACAGATGTCTGTTGTATGGCTTTGCAAATACAAAATTCTTAGCTCTGTTGGCTAAATCTGAGAGAAAAATCAGCAAATAAACAAACATACTCAGAGCAGAGGAATGAATTGCAGCTAATTCCTGACACTAATGAAGATAATTATGAGAGTAATTACATTACCAGCTCTGTGGGAATGACAGATAAACAAGTGGTTTGGTTTATGGGATTTTTCAGCACAAGTATTTTCCCCAGGAGGATATTTTGCTCCATAGTGATCATGAATCAGCTTGACTTGACCCCATTAAGCTGTGTTATCTGCTTACTCTAACCTTTGCTCCTTCGGCAAAGGAGGGTTATGAATTCATATCGGATTCTATACCGACTGAAATGTCAATTTTATCCAACTGATAAATGTTAATAAACTGGCAGAAACTTGAGGTGAACAAACCCCTGATGCTAATGTGAGGAGCATGGATCGTTAGGAATAGATGTATTACGTTTATTACAGCATGAGTGGCTCTGTCATAATTTACAACATGAAAGGGACAAAAATAAATGAGACTTCCTGTAAGTAGAGAATGAGCATTAATGCAAACTAAATTACACTGAAGTACCATTCCAGCCACAAGTAATGAAAAACTTGATGTTACTATGTTGAGAACTGAGTAAAATATCACATTTACCACTTATTAGAAAGCAATGGTAAGCTAAAGTAACTTAAAGGAACACTGTAGCCTGGAAATAGACCAAACTAGAATCATTAGTAAGATTTAACTTTCCTCTTCCATCCACTGCCATTAAACTGCATTTTTGTAAGTGCCTCTTAAGCATCTGAGAACCTAATGCTACGTAAGGACATTGCTTCCTCAAGAGAACACTTCATAAACCTCCACAAAAGTGCACAGGAAAAAACATCCTTCTGAAAATGTACCAGTGTCTAACCTGGCAATTCCTGTGTTCGGAATGCGGCCATCTCAAAAACACCTAAGCCTCCAAGGACAGGAGTCATCTCAGTCACCATCTCAGAGCTGGGTGCTTGCTTGAGGCAGCCGTGCAGATGCCCCCAGGTAGAGATGAGCACCTCCAGAGGGCAGTTCCTTCCACCCTAAGACAGGCAGTAATGATGGATGGGTGAAGTGCCCTCTGGATGCACTGAGCTTCCTGTGTTAACGCTGGCAGGAGCCTGGACCAGACAGTAGCTCTAGAAGGCTACATGCCATGAGTCAATATGTTTGTTTACTCTTTTCTGACATGAGACTGATGACAAGACACACGTCAGTGTTGTGGAAAGAATCTTTCAGTTTGCTTCCACGAATGACGTTGTTCTTGGCAATGGCTTTTCTCTCACAGCATGAGGTTCTCAGGGCACTGCAGGCCCTTGCTGAAACACAAGCCACATTCTCAACAATAGTGAGGTGCTGAGGTCCCACCAGCTTCTGATGAAACACAATCTAGAGCCTAAGTCACTTATGAAGAGGTTTTATAAACCTCTGTGTTTTAGTGGGTTTAGTATTATCCCCTTGCATTTACTCATGCTACATTACGGCCAGTGACATCTTTCTTTTTTCCTTCCCTGCCCTCCCCTTCATCCTGAACCCAAACAAATACTGGTACCACTCAAAATTCATTATATAGCTGAGTGGTGGTACATGGGACAGTACAACTTGATCAGGTTCTATTAATAAACTATGACAGGAAACACAAATCTGTCATGGTTCAAGCCCAGCTGGCAACCCAAAACCACGCAGCCGCTCACTCACTCCCCTCCCTCTCCCTTCCTCCCCCCGCTCCCGGAGGGATGGGGAGGAGAATCGGAGGAATGTAACTCCCACGGGTTGAGATAACAGCACTCCAGTAACTAAGGTATAATACAAACCACTACTGCTACCAATAATAATGATAAGAGGAATAACAAGGGGAGAGGACACAACCGCTCACCCCCCGCCAACCGATACCCAGCCCGACCCGAGCAGCGATCTGGGCCTCCCGGGTGACTCCCCCCAGTTTATATACTGGGCATGACGTGCTGTGGTATGGAATAGCCCTTTGGCCAGTTTGGGTCAAGTGTCCTGTCTCTGCTTCCTCCCGGCTTCCCCTCCTCCCTGGCAGAGCATGAGACTGAGAAAGTCCTTAGTCAGAGTAAACATCACTGAGCAACAACTGAAACCATCGGTGTTATCAGTGTTGTTCCCAGGCTGAAAGTCAAAACCACAGCACTGCACCAGTTACTGAGAAGGAGAAAAAATGACTGCTGTAGCTGAACCCAGGACAAAATCATTGTTAAATATACAGATATGGCACGTGCTTTCTGCCTTGCCCTGCAAGTGGAGGTGCAGCACGTGTACTGGCCTATTAAAACAATGAAATAAAAACTTTCATGTTGGTCTCCTCAGTTGATGAGCTTCTTGTTTCTTCACCTATACATCCAATACAAGGGCAAGAAATGAAGTCAAACCCAAATTAAATCTTGCAGCTCGGACACAGGGTCCTAACTCAGGCAGGGGTGGGAATACTGCATGCCTGCTACTTCATCCTAGAACCCATCTATTGGGAATGAAGAGCAAAAGGCAGAGACTTGACTGTTGGGACTACAGCTCATTTATGGAGGGGGCTGACAAGGCACAAGGCAACAGCAACACACAAACCTGTGTGGGTAAGAAGCAGATATACTTCTCCCAGAAACAAGTGACGAGGTAGCAAGCAAATGATTCCTCTGCTGTGCTGCTACCAGGGCAGCATCCTGGCTGTGTTAACTTAAGGCATCCAACTCTGGTTAGAGGCCAGTTGCGCTGAGACTCTCTGAATTCAACCTGCACAGAGTGACTTGGCTCAGCAGGAGCCACCCCCTTGAAAAGCTGCTCTCTCTTCGCAGACTGGAATATGCCAAGGCCAAGCACGCTTCAAGCTGCTGCTCCTCCACATCATGCTTCCTGAAGCTACTGAGTACATCTGGAGTCACAACACTACTGAGCATCTGCAGACTAACCCTACGGTGCAACTGCTACGTCCATGAGTGCAGATGATATCATGCAAGAAGAAAAGAAAGTACAATTTGCTGCAGTTTGCTAAGAAAATTCCTGTTTACACCACTCAAAAAAGCAAAGAGAAAAATAAAGTGAGAAAAGGTGACAACATTTAGTATCAGAAATACGAGTAACTCTGTCCTTACCTTGCCTTCCACATACTGTGGATAAATAGGATAGTAAAGAGAAGATTTGTGGGCCAAGCGAAGCATCTCCTTTAGAAAGTGTTTTGTATAGTGATGAAATATGGGATTTAAGACAAAGTGGCAAAGATGTCCATGTTCCTCTTGCTGGTGGAGATTGAAATGAATAAAGGCTTCAATGTTGTAATGGGATCGAATGTACTCAATATGCTGGAAAACAAGAACATGAAGATCAGCAGTGACAAGACAGCTCCATTTACACTACTGGAGCAAGTCCAGTGAGTTGCTTCCTATCAACTAAGAAACTAAATGTGAACACTGAAATGCAGTGCCTATGGGCATTGTTCTCAGTTAAAGCACTGACTGAACATACTTCTGTTGGAAACCCTGTCACTGTATCAAAGCCTACTCTTGCAGCTTGCCCACCTTTCCCACACGGACTGCAGAGCCGACTTTTTCACTATGTCTGGGATGGGTTAATGGACATTCAGGGAGGGGAAAAGAAAAAACAACCAACCAGCCCAAGACCCACTACTGTTCTGCTGAGTTCGAGACAGAGGAGCCCAGACTGTCCCTCACAACACTGTACTGAAGAAGGGGAATTCTAGAGAAGAGCTGTGTACAAAATGCCCTCCAACAAGGGCTGAAGTGATAAGCTGACGTTTTTGCACATTATACATTCAAGAGAAAATGCTGTATCCTCTTATGTCAATGCTCTTAATATAATTAAGAGCTATTTTTGAAACCAGGAGTGACTATGTTAAAAACTGAGCTAACAGCTGCTGAACAATCTAAAATCTGCCACAAAAGTAAGCTCCAAAGAATGTTTATTTTTCCAGACTAGTGTGCAACATTGTCTTTTTTCTACTCCATTGGAACATGCACTTTCTATCTGCTTCGAAGGGTGTGATTCAGAATCACTCAGAACCTGCTGTTGGAGAAAAAAAGATAAGAAAGCAAATCTAGAGAGACAGCTACTACTCTGCAAAACATGTGGCAAAACTGCTTATGGACTTTGGAAATTAGGGGGCAAAACAGTTGATTATGAACATATTCAGAGGCAGAATGACTTTCTGCTGAAGAACCAAGAAGAGGTGCAGGAGGCACTTCCAGAATGGATCAGCAGCTTCTTGCAAATCACAGAAAGAGTTTTTGTGTGTCAGTCATCACCTATGGGAAGGGCAATAACACAGTGTGCATTGTCAGGAAAGAGAAAGTTTAGAGGAGCAGTATCTTTTACATAGACTTTCTGTTAGGTACACCTCTTGTGGCAAGGACAAAACTCAGCCTGTAGCACTGAGGGCTAATCACTACAATTTTCATACAAAACAGAAACAGGATTTACCATTTCATCTCTAATGACAGAAATGCCAACTATTTGATCCAGAACTTCTGCTACAAAAGCCTTCACTGGGTTCCCATCCTGCAAGGCAAAACACATGCACATTTCCTGTTTCATTAGTACTCCTTAACCTGACTGCATTTCACCACACAGTTAAAATACTTTCCTCCCAGTTTACATTCTACACACTCCCCCAGTTTAACCACTCTGCCCTAGCTTGAGGCACAATGCTTAAATGGTGTTTGTGGCTAGACTCTGGACGATGCAGAACTTTATGGAACTGAAGGTTCAGTTAGGATCTAGCTAAAAGCAGTGCTATAAGCTCAGCCACTACTTTAGCCCTGGGTTAAGTTCTGGTCTTAGGAAAGAATATTAATTAAAACAGATATTCTCCATCAAAAGTTGTATAAAATGGATTTCCCTGCTGGATGATTGGTAATGACAGCGCTTGGGTTTTGTCTATGCAGCATTTTCCATCACACAACAAATCTGCAGATGTTCCCTGCTGTCTGCTGGGCCTGTGCCCGTCCACATCATGGGAAGGAGAAAGAGGCCCCATCATGTGACGGACACAAGTACAAGTTCATCACACAACCAGGAGTGCGTGCAAGAAAAAGCAACAACATAAAGGAGGCTGTGGGTGGCCAAGAAATGCACCCAGCCTGCTTCTGTCCCTGCACTGGTATAGACCACAGGTCAGACTAACCATCAGGTCAGGCTGAATACAGCCTATGCTGACTGTTGGCACTGACTTGAGTACCTCTACACTATATATAGAGAGTTTACTAGTTTCATGTAACAAATTCTGGATGTTTTTACCAGTATTTATTCATTCTTCTGTGTCTTTGCAAGCAATACTCACGGGATCCCTGCGAACCAGAGTAAATGTCCTGAAGTCATTCAGTATCCTTTTATTCAAGCTAAGGGTTTCAGTGAGCATCTGGACACCAAGTAGGTCATTGCTTGTTGCCCTTCTTACATTAAATGACCTATAAAACAAAAAAGGAAAAAGAAAAAAAGCTCACTCTGTGACAACGTAAAGACAATTCCCATACTGTGACAACTTGCCTTCCACAAGCACCGCACACACCTCTTTGAGAAGCTGGAATTGACTGCTGTATGACTATTGTTCCAAGTGCATATATTAGCTTAGTGTGTGAGAACATAAAAGATCACACAACAGCTACTTAAGACAACTCAAGATGCTGCTTTAACTGCTGCTGAACACTCAGTCTTTCTACACCTCCAGCCCAGTCCCACAAAGCAATGACTACTGTAACCACAGATATCACCCAACCTTCATGTGAACAGAGGCGGCAGAGAAAGGAGACAGAGTCATTCAAAATGGAAGTAGCAGCCATAGCTGCACACTGACACACGTGGGGAGAAGAAAAGAAACAGAAAAAGGTAAGAAAAAAGAAAGAAAAAAGGAGAGAGAAAAAAGTAACCCAGAGCCAACTGTCATCCTTGCAAATGGTACCAAAGAAAGGCAGTAGCATCCTTCTCCAGCAGCAACAGCCAACTATGTTTGTGTTAGGCCTTGGTTCTTCAAACAGCAACATGTAAGCATAAACTTCCACAAAGCACAAACCAAATGCCCCTGCTAAATGCCACTTAGTAATCACACACCAGTGGCACACTGTGAAAGTGTCAGTGCAATAGAGACAGCAGCAACGTGAGCTACAGCAGGGGTATCCCGGCACTTCCCGAGTTCACACACGCTGCTATAAAACATCTTCCCACCACTAAGCATGAAGAAGAATTACTTCCCAGTGACAGTCTCCAGCATCTGAGGAACTCTCATGTTGCCTGTTAAAGGCACTGGCTCTTCCTGGCTAGACAAGGCCCATGGAATAAAGATTTAGCTGTTCAAGGAACCGAATTACAGCTTCATTTCCAAGAACTGGGTTCTTTCCCCCCAGATAAAAACCTTGGGATCCAGGCAGTCTGACTGCCATACCTGGTCTTGTTTGCCATTTCAATTTGTATGTGCTGTTTGTCAGCCTACGTCCCAGCCACGCTGAGACTGATTCTGTGGAAGACCATTTTAATGAACTGCACTAGGACCTTTAAAAGCCAAACCTACCAAATCTCTGATGTGCTATGGGAAATGTCCCAGCTCCATCTCTGTGCTCATTTTCAGCTGGATTATCTGAGTGCTCAAAGCACATATTTGATCATGAAATTACAAACTAACCCTGAACTTGGAAGTGAGCATCAGCTTCCTTTGCACATTTGTTACCTCCACAAAGAATTCACTGCAAGGAACAAGTGACGAGGATGATGGTCAGGGAGACCCACAGCACAGTTCACGTGCCCCCTCCCGCCACTCCGCGGGGCCCAGCACAGGGGCTGTCCCCTGCATGTCCCGGAGCGGTGCCAGAGAGGCCACGTTTTAAATGACAGAAACCAGAACATGCCAAAACAGAACCCAGTTTTAAATATACCTAAACCCCAGATCCACTGAGAGAATGGAGAAGTAGGAAGGACATCCAAGGTCTGTGCCCATTTCTCTTCCAGCAAAGAATTAACTCATTCTAGATGTCCAGTTCCTTCCACTGCACAGAGACCAGGAAGCTGCTATTATTATTATGCTTGTTAGTGAAAATTGAGGCAAAGTGTCCATTAAGCATTTCAGCCTATGCCTTGTCATCTGTTATTTTTCCTCCTTCACTGGTAAGTAGCAGGCCCATACTTCCATTTGCTGTACTTTGGCTTTTTGTGTACTTAACACTTTTTCTTAGTCCTTTTACAACCTTTATTAATCAGTATCTCATTTTGTGCCTGTGCCTCTTCTGATTTTGCCCTTTCGTGTCTTCATATCCCCATGTCCTTAGCCCTGCTTTTCTTTTAATCCATTTTCTGTGACCTCCTTTTCACTCTCATGCCTGTCGAAAGCCCTTGGTGCAAGTACAATATATTGATCTTTCACTTGTCCATATTTTGGTTTCATCTAAGAGAGCTTCTGCTATTGTGCACCAAGCTCTTTGTTCTTCAGAAACTTCCCAAAGGCTTCATCTGGTTTCTTCCATACCTTTTCTGACCCTGGACCTCAGTGAAAGGCTATTTTCCTTACTTCCCTGCACAGCTGCAGGGGGATTTGGAAAATTCTATTACTGACTCTGTTCTGTTCTCATGGAAGGGCTGGTATCGTTTGGAATATGCACAATTCGATCAGAATTGTAAGGGTTTTATAAAAACCTTGATAACAAGTTTAATTTTGACCACAATCACAAGAGGATGTGTGACTCCCAAACCTACCCGTGGATTACTGAGCAGCTGGGCTGAGATTAGCAGGAATTACTCCAGTGGCTTTCCCTGCAGCCAGTTGGATTCTGACAGCACACAGAAGCCCAGTTTCATCCCAGGGTAAAAAGCTTTGCTCAGGTCCAAGAGGAGCTGGCCAGACCCTGCATGAGCTATTTGTATAGCAGCAAAGGTGCTTAAGGATGCAATTACAGCAGAAGTATTGCTCTGAAACCATGCACTATTTAGCTACATTAAAAATAAAGGGGGGGTGGTGGAATCTCTAACTGTGCCACAGTTTCAGCTGGTGCCTGGGCCAGCCTGGGCTTGTTACACAAACAAAGCATTGGAAACTCCTACCACGCAACAGCAGTCACAACAAGAATGGTTGTGTGTCCCAGTCCACCAGTATTTCAAGCTACAGAAGCATTCAGAGTATCATGGAAATTCAAAGGTATGAAATAAATGATTCAAAACCAAAATAAAAAGACATAAATTATATAAAATAGATACTCAACAATGAGGTTATGCTGCGTTCTGCATGTTTCAGAAATGCATTACTGCATAAATTACACCTATACCAGGCTTTCAAGTATCAGCATCACACAACCTGACCCAGTCCACAGGGCCAAACTCTGCACTGTGTTTCTCTATTAGCCTTGGTTCACAATGAGGCAACTGAAGAAGCTTCTTGTCTGTACCAATGTTCATGAATCCTCTCACTGCACTTTGCTTTTACTTGAAGGAAGCTATATATAAGTGCTGGCAGTCAGAAGACTGTTTGCTTTTACAGTTTTAATGATCTCAGTTTCTGATTAAAAATCATGTCACTAACTACTTGTGGCTATTTTCACATTGTCTAGTATAGTGCTGTTGGAGACACACCTGAGTAGGCTTAGGATCCACTCCAGAACAGGCAGCAAGATACTGTAGTAGCGCTGCTAAAGACTAAGTTCCTCAGCTCTGCTCCTGCGTGTTCCAGGCACAGCCCAGGGCTATTCAATACACTGTTATGGGGACTCAAGCTGTGCAAGATGTACCATCCCATGCAGAATACCAGCAAAGGAACACCCAGCTGGTGCTGGGCTGGGGAGTGCATCAACTGTGGTGACCAGGCACAGGACTCACGTGAGCAGCCCCGCACGGTGGAACACATAAAGCTCCTGGCCAAATCTGGAAGTGCAGAAAGGGACAGCCCGGACAAAACTCTGGATCAGGTGGAACTCTGGTTCATGATGTGGTACGAGGATGACACAGAAGTCTTTGTCCTAAGAAAATTGCAGACAATAAAGGCTCTTAGTGACCTCAGTAGAAGCTTTACACAAGAGCTTATCTTGAGGGCACAGAAAGAAACCAAAGTGACTGCATGCTCACAACACATACACTCCAAGCATTGCTCTACCTAGCTGGCTTGATGCCTGGGCAGCACAAAGGAACTGATGAGCTCAACATCAAGCTGGCTCACAGAAGCAGGTCCTTTAGCTCCCATAGTGAAGACTTATTAGTTAATATCCTGATATTCCCTAATGGTTGTTTTTTTCCATGCACAGCTCCCTCCCCGACACCCCTTTCTTCCTTGATAGAATAATCACAGACTGACTTTGCACTGTGTGCACAGTAGACTTGATGAATGCAAGAATGTAATGTATTTCCCCCAGCTTTGTTTTTAACTTAGGTACAGTCTGGATGTATGCATGATTTTAAAGGAGTTTGAAATATTTGCTTTCTAAATCTGCATCTCAGAAAAGCCCCTGTGGAACATAAACCAAGGACTGATGTTTGCGATACAGAAAGTCCAAAGCAGTCATGGAGGGGAGTTGAACTCGTCAGAGTATCTCAGCCCAGGGTAGCTCAGTCAGAGCTCGCTCCTGTCAGTCACAGACTTCCTGGGGCGTCATATCCAAATACTCTGGCTGACTACTATACTGCTGACAACTGTCCCACCACGCATTCGCATGCACACAAACTTGAATTATACTTACTGGGAAAAGCCTGAAAACATAATTCAGGAAATCCAGTGATCTGCAAGCGAGAGAATACACTGTTAAATGCAGCACACATCAGCCAGAGCCTGTACATGTTGGCATTTACATCCCTGTAAGTGCAAGACACAGTTATTCACAGTCATCAGTCCACTTGTTCCTCACTGATCAGCTGCAGATGTTGCACACTGTCTGCAGCTGACTTCCAGGCCTTAAAGCATCACTAGTAACAAGAATAAGCCTCCATGTCTGAACTAATCTCACAGCATTCTCAGCTCTTCACTGAAAGGCAAAAAGAAAAAGACTCACACTGTTGACTCCAGCGTTTTCCAGAGGTCATTCACAGGCTGTCAGAGCAGCGTTAACGTACAGCCAGCGTTAACTGAGGTTGCAAACAGTTGTTGCTATGGCCCACAACATTCATATGCACTACCAAGAGTTCTGTCTTTACCCACTTCATAAAGGTCTCTGATGTGCTTGATGAGACTAACAGGAATGTCAATACCTTGAATTGGTTTTGAACACTTCTTTCCACTTCTCACCTACTGGTTTAGAGTAAGTCCACCCTCTTTTCCATGGTGACAGTGAAATGTGACCATTGAATGAAATTTGAGTTTAAAAGACATGAGAAATCTAACAAATTCTTCATGTCTCTCCTATGTGTAAGCTCTAAACCCACATATGAATGATGCTGAAGCGTTATAAAATATTTTCCACTGTACAAAATGTCTGTTGAAGAAACTCAATATAGATACATCACCTAAAACTATTGATAAGACTCCTCCTCCATCCAGACCTGTAGTTAAGTTCCCTTTAATTACTTGACCAATAATATTACTGAATGAAAAGAGAAATAATTTCTAATAAAAATATCTATGTTTGAAAGAAAACTTTCAACAAAAGCTGTAGGCACAGATCTGGATTGGGGCATTATACAGTCACCTATATAGTCCATAATTACAGCTAGTTAATAGACTAGCTAAATGGGGGAAAGGGAAATGCCATTGCAATGGAGTTTTCTGCTCTCTCATATCCAGCACCTCCTTGGCAGCAGGGAACACAAGAATGAAGGTAGGAGATTTTTCTTAAAAAGGTATCAAATGTCTGCAGAAGAACTAGCAGGTTGGTTCCTCCACAGTTCACTTCCAATGCATTAACAAGCCACAAAGCTTTAAGATTTAAGCCACTCCAGATTTAAGAGATGGAAACATTTAGCAACCTTACTGGGTAACACAAATTCCTCAGTGGTAAGCTCCCCTCGAGGGCTAAGATGCAATCATGCCTGCATTTCTATTTCTGGATCCATGCAGGTCAGCAGTAACTCCTGCAGGACACAGCCAGGATTGCCTCACACCACCCTTTCAACGCCCTCACTTCTCTAAGGTTTCTTTCGCAAACAGGTGGATAAAGCAAACACAAGCAAAATACATGAAAACAGCAAGATCTACAGATTCCTCAGCTCTTGAGAAGAGGATCTTGCACGAGTTAATCTGAGGAGAAGCCTTCAGGAAGGAATGCTGTCCTCTCCACAGATACCCATCTTGGAATCCAAATTGTTCCAGAGATGTCTCCAGCGAAAACCAGAATGGGACTGCAGTGCTGAGTGATAAACAGAGTGAACAGACCTTGAAGAGAAACGTGGTGCAGACGAAGGACAGACTTTGAGAAGGGGGCAAAAAAGTGAGAGATCCCTATCCTAAGCAGGATGCTGTGAGCAGAGAACTCAACTAGCCTACAGGAGAGTATTTCCCAACACAGGTATAGACCACTGCTGTGAATTGCTGGTTCAGGGTAAAGGAGTAGTTCCACAGCAAGGCCCTCCCTCAGCAGTATTTTAAAATAAGGTTATTTTATTCTGGAATAATTATTTGAATTTTATTTTAGACCAGATTGTCCAGAAATCCAGTGTTTTGGAATGGACTCTCTGCAGTGCCATGGTTCTGTCGCATGTACGTGCATCAGTGCTTCCAAGTACACCACAGACTTCCGGCACTGCATTTCTCTCTCCTCCTAATGAATCTGACCTGCGTTACTTGGGAAACATGTACCAAGAAGACCATGTGTTTGCTTTGCTTTTGTAACTTAGGATACTTGTAGTTGAAGCAGATTCAGTGTTTAATCCCTTTGGGTAGGACCCCTCCTTAACCAAGAAACAGCTTAAGAAATAGAATTAATTTTCAAGGAGTTCTTATCTGTCTTCTTAGAGAAGTGTACTCCTAAATTTCCTCTAAAGCAGATGAGTTGAGAAGTTGGCAGTCACTAGTGACTGCTACCACAAGCAGAGAGATGTTTCTGCAAATGGTACTACAGTTGTCAAACTCATCATCTGTAAAGTCCTTGCTACTGATACCCTGGGTCTCTAGAAATCACATCTGTTCAAGAGCATGGAAGACCTTGGGTGTGCTCAGCCTCCTTCTGTCTCCTTCTTGTAAGTATCTACATGGTTTATCTTTCTTTCTAGGCTCTATAAACAAGAGCAGGGCTCACTTGTAAGCAGAACGGGCCAATGCTCCTGGAGAGGCTTTGCTGATGTGGTTGAGCACAGGTTCATTCTTCAGGGGTGCAGAGAAATTTGGCAAAAAAAGGTCTAACACGTGTATAGATCTGTTCTACTCCACCAGGATCTCAGAGTCCAAAGTCAGCAGCAACCATGTGAAGATAAAAAGACTTTGTCTTCCCCCTGCTGCAGTGGATTCCAGGAAACTGAATCAATTCTCTCAGTGACGGGAGACTGAGGCTTTAGAAAGGAGAACATTTAACCACAGAGTTCAGAACACTTTTACTGCCCCATGGAACAAGATGAACAGTATAGCAACATCCAGCTCCTTTTGCAGTTAGCCAGCTTTGGCATCAATGTTTCTTAAGAAGAAGAAGAAGTAGCCTTCTTCCAAAATTTCAACTAGCATTTTGCCAACAGAAATGCATTCTGAACTTCCTGTCCCCACAGATGTCCCACCACAGGGGGAAAGTTGCAACCAGAGCTTCAAAATTTCACTAAGTTATTAGTGAAAGTAAAAGAAATGGGAAAAAAAGAGGTCAGAAAAGATCCAACCTCCCTGCATCGTGTGCTGCCACTTCCAGCTTTGTCCTAAAAATGGAGCACTGAGAGCTGGTATTAAACTGGGAAAGCAGGAACTTCACCCAAGCTTACCTGCTTTCATACTTCTCATCGATCCAAAACAGGCGGATACAGAAAGCATTGGAAGCTCCTCTGTACACGGGGTGAAAAGCACCTTTTTCTTCAGCCTCAAGGAGTGTTGCTGAGGCTTTGAAATCCTTGACATCACCTGAGAGCAGCTCAGCTTGGGGGACGGTAACGGCTCCGCTGCTCTGCAGTAACAACACACAAGTGGTCACGTATAACAGTTCAGAGAATACTTTCATTTTTAATTAACAGCTTTCGCATTATTCCTACCTAACAGCATTCCAAGCACATGCACAGGGATACACTTTTTACTTGTCATATTCTGACAAACACAAAGTTCAAGGAGGTATATTTAATGGGATGTCTGTTTCTCAAACACTAGATAAAAATGGTCTTTAAAAATACACACATTCTTGCTGAAGAGCAACATATTCACAAACTAAGTTACCATGAGAGTCCCTTTGTAAGGCAGGAAACCATTTATCTTTGAGAAATGTTTCTATGTAAAAAAAATTGTTTCCAGGTGTGTATTGAAAATAGGTGAAAGTTGAAAACATGTTATGCTAAAGAAAATGGGATCAATGCAGAGAAAATTGTGGAGATGGAAATGAACAATGGGAAGAAAACCAGAGGAGCTTTGATATGTACTGATGCAACCATTCAGAATTTCTCAGGGTAAATTCTCTGCAGGTTTCTGCTGCTCCACTGCATTTCATAGGAATGGTCTTTTATCAAGTTGAGCTTCACTCAACAGAAGAGGCACAGAGAGAACACGTGCCCTTTAACGTCTGCAGCCCACAGGGGAAAACTGGAGCTGCATTGCTGCTTTTCAGCTCTGGCAGCTTCCTGTCAACAGCAGCGTTTTAGCTCCCAAGAGAGTCAGCCAAACCCTCGGGCGTCGCCCTGGCTCCCACCCTGCCAGTTCCAGGAAAGCTCTCTCCCACCTGCGAGGAGCCCGTTCAGAGCTGTGCTTCCATATGCCCTCACTTGGCAGCAGACCTGCACAAACAGGCCCCCATCTTCTTCCTCCTCTCACTGCTGCCCCTGTGTTGGCTGGTCCTGTGGAAGTGGATGAGAAAACCACCCCCGTCCATCCTGATCCCGCACAACAGCAGATCTAAACGTGGGTCCATGCACAGGACAGTGCAGGACTGGCAATAGCAAGCATTGCCTGTCCTGGCAGCCTCTACCTGCGCTTCACATTAGCTTTGAAAGTCATTAGCACTACTGTGTGCAGAGGTATTACCTGCACAGCTGCATCCTCATCCGGAACATGTTCAAAGTTTGGAGATGGAACAGTCTCTGTCTCTTGACTTGTTTGGTTGCTTTTATCTTCACCTGAGTAATGAAAATGAAGCATCAGGCTTAAAAATGCAAGCTGAATCCTCAGGATCACAGCATTAAGCAGAGTGTGCCAGGCTGCCTTTATTGGAAGGTTTATTTCATTGGTTTTTAACAACCACAGTTAAAATAGACCCTCCCACAGTTACTTGGCTAGAATTTCATTAGACTATTTGATTTCAAGGCAAAAAAAAAATAAAAAAAAATCAGAGAATTGGTTGCAGAAGAAGAATTGAACAAGACAGAGTTCGGAGGCAATTCCTAACTCATGTATTATATGTAGTAAATTTTTACCCTATTTGAAGAGACAAGTCTGAGTGATTAGTATATTGACTGGTATCTTAAACCCTGGAGCTGTTCTAACTTGTTTTCTGATGATCACAAGGGTGAGCAAGGGCTCTCAATTCCCAGATTAGCTCTCCTAAACCAACCCAAATTCAGAATAAATCCTGCTCAGGCCAGAACCCTTATTTACTGGTGCAAGCAGGGACAAGAATCAGGTATTTGAAGAAGTCCCTTCTCAGTTGCTAAACCTAACTAGGTCTCTAAACCCCATTTTCCTTCTTACACAAGGTGGTTGCTCAGTTTGTCTATTGCCTGACTGCCATACTATACGATGCTGCATATACACCCGTACAGCCACCCAGCACGGACGTACTGCACCCCTGGCCAAATGCTTACGGCAGTCAAAGCAAGCAGCCAGATGTTAGGGAGCTTGCTGCGATACCACTAAACACATTTTTTTTCTCAATCCCTGTCCAGGCCCAAATCTCAAGTGGATGTTTAAAATATGGAGAAGCAACAAGCGAAGTATCCAAAGACAATCTGAAACACATGATGCATTATGTTTGATTTCAATTGCCTGGCCATTAGTTTAAGACAGATGTTAGCAGTTTTTACACGGCAACACACAAGATCTCTTTAGAGCTCTGCCCAGAACAGAAACAACTGTGAGTTTCCCTCCAGCATACTGCTTGCTAGACAGCAGATCACCATTCCAGCAGGTGCTGCACAGCGGGGAAAGCAGTCCCTAGGTCTGGATTATTCTCTTTAAAGCCAGCAGAAGGAAGGCGTATCCAGGATGAGATGCACAAAGGTCACATTAAAGTTAACGTTATGGACCAAACTTATTTGAATCATCAACTTGGAAAGGAAATGTTGAAATACCAGTAAAACCTACATGCAAAATATATGTGAATCCTACATGTGAAACACCAGTGAATCCTGCATGTGAAACGTGTGAATCCTACATGTGAAATGTGTGAATCCTACATGTGAAATACACATGAATCCTACATGTTACTCCAAGTGACCACCCGAACTACTAAAGCCAAGTGTTAGCTCCTGCATTTTTAGCCCTGAACATACCTTCACAAGTTGTGCCATTCCTGTTACTGTCCCCTCCCCAGTTGTAGAGACATGCTCGCAGTTTGGGTTTATATTTAACAGGAAAGCCTGAACGTGAGTTTTAACTCATGAACTCTGGAGGTGTGGGTATCGCTGCTGCAGCAAACACATCAGGCCAGGACGTGGCATGTGAGAGCTCCAGTAACACAAGGAAGTCAAAGTTTCTGAGCCCCAGAAGGAACGAAAAACCTTCAGAAGACCCAGCACAAGAGAATCCTTCACTCCTCTCTGAACAATACCTTGGGAAAACCATCTAAGTACATTCGTCAACATGAGCATTTCTTCATACAGTAACGAGCTTAAAAAAAATACCTCGAAGGTTTAAAATAATTCATCCAAAAGTATTCTGAAAAATATGTTATCTGAAAATCTGTTCCTCTGTTAGTAGAGAAGAATGCAGAGGCAATGTGCAGGGCAAGAAGAAACACAGGGCTTGAGACTGTGGTTTCTCAGAGGTATCACAGATGTGAGGCTTCACAGGAACGATCAGATGTGGTGTGGCCTAACCCAGCACTGCTTCCCATCACAAACAGCCCTGCAGGTGTCACAGGTAATTAATACAGGGCTCTGGTTGTGTGTAAATATTGAGATGTTGTTCCTGACTTTACACTGAGACGAAATTCCTCAATGGCTCTCTCATCCACCACTGGCAAATGTAGCTGCAGCACTGTTTGCATGGATGTGCACAGAAGTGGTGGGATGAACGCAAATATTGTTGCACTAAACGAAGTAAGGAATGTGAACAAAGAGAAAATGGAACTAATCCTGTGATTGCCGGGTTGTTAGCAGAGGCAACAGGCAGCAGGAGCAAGAAGCCAGTTCACCATGAAGCCTGATGAAAAGCCCTTGAATCATTCCCCCTGCATCATAATGTTTTGTAGCTACTAATTCGTGACACCATATAGAGTAACAACCAAATGACTGTAATTACCCTGAGGCATAAGTGGCATATCAATACTGGGTTAAAGACAGATTCCTGTATGGGCTTTCATTACTATTCAGTATTACATTCTGAAAGGAAAAATGTCAACAACTTGTGATCCCTACTTACCAGGCTAAAGAGCGTGGAAAGCCACTGGGGGTTTATTTATGTGTGAACATCAAATGACCCTACACAGGAATGCAGCCTGCATTTGGAATTCAAGACAGGAAGTCCCCAGCCCTACTGATCCAAGGGGTCCCCTGAGCCGCCCTCACACCCCAGCATGCCTCAGCGCCAGGTTTCCAGTCCAGCCGCCTGCAGGAGTGGTGCCATCACTGAGACACCATTCACACAGCCATTCCTGGAGTGCTCGTGTTATGCTCAGTAAGCAAATACCAGCCCTATGCGACTGACACTACAGTGCATTCCAAGGACTTAGCTTCACCCTTACACTGGAAAGGCTCCACAATGGACTCCTGGGATGCAACTCTCATATGGACTGTACAGTTACCAAAAAACCTCCAAACAAACCCCCCCAAACTTACAAACAAAAACCTCAACAAAAAAAACCAACCCCAAGACTCCAACATACCAACCCCCAGGCAAGACAATCCTCCTTCCAAATTACGTATTTGAATAAAACAAAAAGGCAGAAGGAAGGGAACTGTGCTTACGACTTGGTTGGGGTCTTTCTTGCTGTAAATTTCTTTACTAAAAGAGTGGGATTTTTAATTTAAAAAAAAAAAAAAAGTAGGTGGAGGGAAAGAAAAAAAAGAAAGCAAAAAATAAAAAAAAGCAGCATTCCTGTTTCTCCTGGAAGTTTTCATGAATGAATACTGAAATAAATGGAGTCACATCTCATGAATAATGAAACACAAATCATCATTCAAACCGCTCAAAAAACAGGGATTTTTGTTTATAGCCATTAGTCAAATGTGTACTAAGCAGTTAAAGGAAAAGCTGTTTATCAAATATCTACCATATGAGACACATACTTTCAATAAGCCATAACAAACTTCTGTAACTGTTGCAATCTAATGCCTTATTGAACGGGTATCAGAAACTTGAGCAGTAAGTTTACATTTGAATTTCTTCCCTCTTTCTTTTTTCTTTCTCTGAAATTCAGCTACCACAATCGTTAGTTTCACCTCTCTCCTTTGGGCCATACTGGGCAGGTATAAACAACAACTTCCAATGTTTCAGGACAACAAACACTTCCTGAAGTGTTGTAATTGTTCATTTATTCTAAAACATGCAGAGCTACAACAATAATTTTAATTATTATTCAGTGATAAGGGAATTAATATTGCTGAGCTGCGCAGCCATGAGTAACCCTGATTTTACTATTACATTTCTAGTGGCGCTTTCCCTCTAGGAATAGTGTCAGAGCCAGGCTCTTGGCTTATGCCACTCAAGTTCCTTCTCAGGTGTCTGAGACCATCAGCAATTTGTACTCAAGCTACCTGAAAAAGCCTACAAGTAATTCTCCTTCCCCAGACCTACCTGTCATTTCAAACAGAGGGATAATCCTTCTCCTAAAAATCTTGCCTGAAGGAGACACACGGGATTGCAAACTAGTATCAACTGTCAAAACTAACCTAGTATTTAAATGGAGAGGGAAAAGAAGAGCAATGAACACGTGAGCTGTGAGCCATGCTACTTTATAGACTTCTGAAAGCACTCAAGTCACACCAGAACCTGAACAGGGTGGCTGTTCATGCTAAGTTTTCATATTTTGAAAAAGTCTCTTCGACTTCCTAAATGTAAGAGCCGCGGTGTTAAAACCTGTAACCACCCCCTCATTAAAAAGCTCAGCAGCACAGAATTGGCCACAAAACATGGGCCTACAGCTTGCAGCCCCTGGACAAGGAAAGCACTCAGAAGTGTCTGAGGGTTTTCCCCAAATCAGTAACAGTCACAGAGTAGTTGTGGTTGAAGGGACCACTGGAGGTCATCTTGTCCAAGCCCTCTGCTCAAGCAGGGTCACCTAGAGCTGGCTGTGCAGGACTGTGTTCCCACTACTTTTCAGCTTTTCAGACCAGACTATGGTGACTGATGTTTCCTCCTCCCTCAGTCTCATTTATGTCTCTACATGTCTGTCACCTATTTTGAAATGACACTGCTGCAGCTCCAGCAGCACAGGATGATATGGGAGGAGACAGTGGCTCCCTTCACCTCTGTGTGCAAGCTGCTGCTTTGTGGGGGAGGGAAGTCCACAGGAGCAGCTGTAGGACTTTGTTCTTTTGCTTTCCTGTTCTATGGCTGTCAGCTCCCAGGTGCCAGATGGTGGCTGCTCTGGTGCTCCCTCGCTGCCTGTTTTGCCTGCTGCTTTGTGTTCAGACAGGCAGATACCAATGACCTGATGTGGAGTTTTAATTCTATTACTGATAATTAGTAGACAGCAAAATGTTGTCCTTTGCACAAAAAGCCCTTTGACACTGAAACATAAAGATGACAACTGTAAACCATTTACATGACACTTCTCTTCTGCAAAGAGGTAACATTCATGTTAGTGGTTTCTATGCTTTGCAGTAAGGTGGCTTGTACATGTGTTGTTGTATCATGCCCGGTATAAAAACAGAATAGAGACAGTTGCTGAATCTTATCATCTAGAAGACTGCAAACAGCAAGCAAAGAGAGCAGAAGCTGGACCAGAAGTTAATAGGATGGCACAAGTCAATGGGACCACATAGTAGCCATAGTTAACCAGGAGCTTAGCTGCAGACATTAGAACCGCATTTCAAAACCGAGCCTTCAGTTAATAGCACAGCCATAGCTAACTGACAGAAAACACACCTGATGCTTCAGCGTTCCAAAACCTGACACCCAGGTTTAGCCCATATCTGATACAGACCAGCTCCCCACAACCAAAACCAACCACCACTTCCCAGTCAGACACCAGGGCTAGCAAAATTTCCCTCCCGAATTACAACCCACCAGGTAACCATCTCCGAAACAGACACACTACTTGTGTTTTTCTTGCCAGCAAGCCTACATCCTCCTCCAACCTTTGGCAAAACCTAATCAGAAGCTAGAAACACATGCACTCCCAATGTATCTAGCAGTTTAGGACACAGATACCTTCTTGAAGGCTTGGCTCCTGTGGCATTTTGAGAATATCTTCAGGATGTGGTTTACAAAGTCCATGGAAAGGCCCCAAGTCAAAACACTCTTGCAACAAGGAAACATTCACTTGAGAACACAAGCTCATGAATCCTACCGCAGTGTCAGCAGCCTGAAACACAAAAGCAATGGCACACAGATGTGGAAGCTGAGCACGTGGTTTGAGGTCAGGACAAAAACTTGAAGAAAAAAAATTATGAAACATAGAAGTTACTGGTTGTGCATAAAGGAACTATTCCAGCAAAAGTTAAAGTTTCCTGTTTATTCCCCTGTAATGTCTGTATTAGGGTCTCTATATTAGATGGTCCAATTGTTTTGTTAGCTATGACTTACAAGAGCATTAGGATTATATGTATGGACCAAATAATGACCTATTGCTTCAATAAAACGTCTGCTACAGTATATAAAAACCATATACTTTCAGCTACATACCTCCAAAAAGATGTGATTTTTGTTTAACTTAAAGTGCAGGTAAAGTAAAATCAGGCTTTAGATACCCATAATGGCCAGTTACTGCACTCTGTTTTGTAAAGAAAACTGCTCAAACTGAAAAGTGTATTTTATTTTCCTATGAAAATGATTAATTCAAGAAAGTGCTTCTCTAGTATATAAGCAGTATCTAATGGAGTACATGGTGTGTATTATTTGCAGCAATTATAAGTGCTAAATATTTTCAAGTTCTGAAAAAAAAAATAATTTAATAACTAGTCCTTAAAACAACACAACAGCCTCGCAAGTACCACAACGATGAGCCCCTGCCATGGGAAAGGCCATATCACTCCGCGTGTTTGGTACTGAGTGTTTCCAGGAAGTTGGGGTCTTCAGAAGGAAATACACTCTGAAAATGGGAACTGGTGTGCTGGAGGGCTTTGGCTTTCAGCAGAGATGAGTCCAAAAATAGGAAGCTCTTCAGTTTTTAGTGCTGCCGCAACCTTCTAGCGAAACACACATAACCAGGTTTTTTCCTCTCACTACACATACTGCAGGCCCCCTTTCTAAACAGAATGAAACCGCAATGGCTGGGTTTGTAGAGCTGTATGTAGAGCTCCCATTTAGAGATGGGAGGCCATCAGCACTCCCATCAAAATAAAAAATACAAACTTTAATTTTCCCCCTCAAACAACAAGTGACTGTTTGTTTGCTTGTTTGCGTAACTGAACAAAAGCTGGGGCACTGCAGTTGTCTGGCTGCTGTGTAATTCTAGGCCCAAGGCTCAGCAGAGGCTGATTAACCAATCCATCTACCATATGTGCAAAAAGAGGCTGCCAGCTTCATTCTCTGCAGGGAAAATTGGCATCTATCTTGGTTCGCATGGAGGTGTCTTCCCAATCTGCGGCAGCAGTGGCAAGTGTAAGCTATGAGGGCCTGAAACACCTTTTGCTGGTATCATATTGAGCTATAAATGTACAATTGAAATGTATTATTTATAAAGATAGCCATTTGTAATGTGCTATTACACTAATGCTTTATTGTTTCCCATTTGGCTTCCAATGGTAGTGATAACACGTTATGGTTTGTAAAATCATTTGCTATAGAAAGCAGACTTGTGGAATTAAGCAGGTTATGTTGCCCATCAGCTAACACCACCATGCACAATTACTAACGCATGAAAACCTTACAAGGAATTTTCAGAGGCTAACTATTACCACCTCTTTCTCATTTAGATTAATTCTTGGGTTTCTGTCTTCAATTCAGCAAAAATGTGGCTGCCTGAGCCTGGAGACGGGAAACACCTACAGCTTTTTTAACTGTGAAACTATCACATGCAGTATTCATTTTCACTGGGAATGAAAACTGGTCAGCTATAATGCAAATGTCTAAAATGGCAACATGGTTTCTTCAAGATGGTCCATTCCAATTACTGGAAAAGAATCTACACGATTACTGGAACTGCTGCTTCATTTGTTTTAACAGGAGACAGCGCTCCTAAAGACAGACACAAAACATGTGGCGGAGGGCACTGTGTGTGCAGATCACAAATTCTGCCTTCCAAACGTGAGCTTGTTCTTTTTGTTCGTTGAACTGCAGTGTGAGCTGTCACATGCGACATCACTGGTGTTAGGATTAAACAAAACCAGAGCTCATGGTAGACTGACCTCACCAACAGCAGCCTGATTTTCTTCATCTTGACATTCTATGAGATCAGCAATGAAATATTCACTATAGGTTTCTTTCAGAGTCTCACTCTGACGTGTCCAGAGTGTCATGATGTCATCATGATCTTCCAGCCTGCAAAAAAAGAGGTTAGGTAACATCCTAAAGCTCCACCATTAATAGGTCCTGATCCTGCTGATCTACTCCATTAGCATTTGCACAGATATTACAAATACCTGATCCAAAGCCTCCACCCACAAATAATTTCACCTAGGACATGTCTCCAGTGCACACTAAATTGGGAGCCTCAGCACCAGAGGAGAGACAGAACCACTCCCAGAAGCCAGCATAATCCACCTACGATCTGGATGCT